CCTTTGTGTGTTTCAAATGTTTCATGAAAAGTTAAGCACCAGTACAACAAATTGCACTCAGCATTTATGCATTTCAAGCTCAAGTGTGCATTGGAGGGGTGGGGGGAGGAATTCCCTGCCTCTGCCCAGTCCATTTATGTAATAAAAACGTTTGCTTTTATTTTTTCTTTCTTTATTATATGAGTCAATACTTGGCCCCAGGCTTTGGAAACCCCTTTGGTAAAGCAGGCATCCGGCAGCGGCGATGAGAGCAGGAACCGTGGCTCCTCTGAGTACAGCCTACAGTGGTGTTGGCCTCTGAGTCAGTTTGCTCGGTCCTTCCTCCTTGAGAGCTGTTTCCCTCCAGCACCTGACTGTGGGGCCCCTCCCACATTTTTTCCAAAGACTTGTTTCAACAAGAGGCCTCAGATCCTCCCTGATCCACCCCTCAGGACAGAAGTACACAGATCCTCTGACACCGGGCCTTCCTCTGCTGGGTCTTTGTAAGGCCCCACACCAGCCAGAATCCAGCCTTGGCTGGACTGCAGCCCCGTGGCAGGAGGCAGGAAACGTGCCCCTTTTAATTCTGACTTTGGACAAAAGAAGGGAGGGACATGATGCAGCTTGTGACAGTGCCTCAGACCCGATGGTATATATTTCTAATCAAGCCAGCAGTTAAAACTCCTTTAAGGCCAGGGTGCACTCCCTGTTCACATCAAGGAGAAGCTCCTGTTGGCATTTGTCATCTGGGGGTCTTTAACTTAACAGCAAATGAACGTGTGGTGAAATCCTTCTGTGCAAGTGGCAGGAAAAGAGGGGAACATTTGGGGTCTGTGCTGATCGTTTGCTTCACAGTAGGTAGAGGGTCCATGTGAACAGGAGCACTGGCTGGTCGGATCCTGCCGGAGCGTTGGTGCCATTTGTTCCATCTGATGATTAGCTGCTTTCTCTGCTGCTCTGTTTCTCCACGCTCTGCTCTTGGTTTGCAGGGAGGAAGACGGGGGAAGCCCTGTGGCCCCTCTGGCTCCCTCCAGCTTCTTCCCCTACCACCACCTTCATTTCTGTCCTTTCTTTTTCTTTTGAAGGTACTTTTGGCAGTTCTTTAAGGAAAGAGGCTTTAAGGTGAGTCTAGCATGGAGGTGTGTTGGGAGCTCTGTCTTTAGGGTAGGCGGCCTGATTTTTGTGTGTTTCCCAGCGTTGGATGTGAGGGCAGCAAACTCCAAATGCTGACACCGTGCCCCCCAATTTTTAAATTTACTTAGTAAGTGCTCACCAAGCTGCGTACTGTTCCAGGTACTAGGGAGACAGCAGTGAGCAAGGCGAGCGATGCTTCTCACTCTTCTGGGGCTCACATTCAGATGGGGGTTCAGTCCATAAACAAGTAAAATGTGTACTGTGTTCGATGGTAACAAGTGCTAAGAGGAAGCAATTAAGCGGGGAAAGGGGATGTGGAGTGCAGTCATAAGATGGGGATATGTTCTGAGAAATGTGTCCTTAGGCGATTTTATCGTGCAAGCAGAACGTACTTACACAAACCTAAACAGCACACAGTGTACCACACACCTGGGCTCTGTGGCAGAGCTTGTCGCTCCTAAGCTACAGACCTGCACAGCATGTTACTAAATACCCGGAACAATTGTAACACAATGGCGAGTATTTGTGTATCTAAACATAGAAAAGGTGCAGTAAAAATGTGGCATAAAAGATAACAAGTAGCACACCTGAACAGGGCACTTACCATGAATGGAGCTTATGGGACCGGAAGCTGCTCTGGGTGAGTCAGTGAGTGAGTGTGGGGAGTGAGTGTGAAGGTCTAGGACATCACTGTACACTACTGTAGACTTTATAGACACTGTACACTTAGGCTACATAAACTTTTTAAAAACTTTTTGACTTTTGTAATTACCACTTAGCTTAAAACTCAAGGGCACTATATAGCTGTACAGAAATATTTTCTTTATATTGTTATTCTGCAAGTATTTTTCTATTTTTAAAATTTTTTTACTTTTTTTTTTTTTTTGAGACAGAGTCTCGCTCTGTTGCCAGGGCTAGAGTGCAATGGCATCATCATAGCTCACTGCAACCTCAAACTCCTGGGTTCAAGCAATCCTCCTGCCTCAGTCTCTCAAGTACTGGGACTACAGGTGTGCACCACCACGCCCGGCCAATTTTTTTCTATTTTTGTAGAGACGGGATCTTGCTTTTGCTCAGGCTGGTCTCAAACTCCTGGCCTCAAGCCATCCTCCTGCCTCAGCCTCCCAAAGTGTTAGGATTACAGGCATGAGCCACTGCACCTGGACTTTTTTTATTTTTTAAACTTTTTTGTTAAAAACTAAGACACAAACACATACATTAGCTCAGGCCTACACAAGGTCAGGACCATCGGTATCACTATCTTCCACCTTCATATTAATATCTTTGTCCCACTGGAAGGTCTTGAGGTGCGATATCATACATGGAGCTGTCATCTCCTATGGTAACAGTGCTTTCTTCTGGAGTACGTCCTGAAGGACCTACGTGAGGCTGTTTTACAGTTAACTTTTTTTTTTAATAAACAGAAGGAGTATAAAATAATGATAAAAAGTGTATATATAGTAAATGCATAAACCAATAATATGATTGGTTATTATCAAATATGACATACCATATATAATCGCATGTGCTATGCTTTTATATGGCTGGCAGCACAGAAGGTTTGTTTACAGTAGAGTCCCCACAAACAGGTGAGAAACATGTTGCTCTAAGACCTTGTGGTGATGGCAACAGCCTCACTGGTTAGTAGGAATTTTCAACTCCATTGTAATCTCATGGGACCGTCGTTGACCGAAATGCTGTTATGTGGCAAATGACTGTATTAGGGTGGAAGGTTTTGGAATTTTAGGCAAGGTGGCCAGGGATGGCCTCTCTAGGAGGAGGATCAAGGACAGACCTGAAGGAGGTGAGGAGAGTGAACAGTGGGGATGTCTGGGCAGGAGGAGCAGCCAGTGCAAAGGCCCTGAGGTGAGAGGCCTGGTGAGATTGAGGAGCTCATGAGGAGGCCCATGTGGCTGGAGCAGAGTGAGCCAGGGGAGTGGGAGGGATGAGGTTAAAGAGGTGATAAGTTTGCAGATCTCTTAGGAACCTGCATAGGTTTGTCTTTTCTCAGATGGAGATGGGAAGATATTGCAGGGTCGATTGATTGATTGAATTTTTAACAGCAACAAAAGTAAGGCGCTCAGTTCCCTTCCCTAGAGACCACCGCCATTCCAGTTTCTTGCAGGTGACCAGTTCCTTGACATTGCATTATTCAGGTGAGTTTCCTGGCTTATATTAGGTTGAATCTCCTGAAATTGCCTTTTTGTGGGTCCAGAATGGTTGAATATGGGCAATTTAATGAGGTTCAGCCTAACAGCTTCCTTTTAGGAGCATAAGGAATTTGGCCAATTCTTTCTTGCCGTAAGGGTTGCTGGTCAGAGATGAGGCCCTCCTCCCCCCCACCACATTCTACCCTTCTTTTTCAGTGACAGGGCCAACGGTGTCTGTGACACCAGCGTAGAACCCTCCTGCCCTACTTGTAGCCCCAAACCCAGGCTTGCTGGTAAGCCTGTCAAGAGGCTGCCTCTTCCTGCTGGGACCTTACTTGCGGCGTGGTGTTGGTTCTTCTTTGCCTTTCGGCATCTTGGTGCCACCAATTTTGAAATCACAGTAGCTCCCAGAGGGAAGGGCACCCCTGGGCTCTTGCTGGACGCTTGGCATGGTTCGCACGGTGGGGATGTTCTCTGGGTGGGCAGAACTTGTGGGCATTCTGGATCAGCAAGTGAGCAGTGTAGCTGGTGGAGCACCCAGCTTGGCGTGGCCGAGTATCTGCTGGGACTCAGGCTGTGGGAGGAGGCCTGCAGAGCCATGGTCTGGATGTGGGAGAAAAGCCATCAGCCCCTCCTGTTTGTCACATCCATGTGTTGGCCAGAGAGTTGCAAGTCCTTGTGGAACCCCAGGGCATTAGGCTGCATTCTGGGGCGGGGGAGCAGATGACAAAGGAGATACGGATTCAGCTTTGGGAGAGCTCAGTCAGGAAGTTATGTCGTTGGTGTGCCTTTGGCTGCAAACCATAATAATAGCAGCAGCAGCACATAGGTAATTTATTACCTGCTATAAATAGATCATTTACATCTACTGGGTGCTGGACACTGTGCTAGGCGCTTCACACGCAGTGACCCATTAAAGCCTCCCAACAACCCTGCAAAAATAGTACTCTTACTATTGCCCTTTTGCAAATGAGTGGGAGGGGGATCTCATACACTCTCTGCTTCTGATCCCCTTCTCGCCCCCATCTCTCTCGCAGAGGCCGTTTCCCCCTGCAAGCAAGGGTGGTTGTGTGGGTGAAAAGAAAGGATGTAGGTCAAGTGCTCACACCCAGTGGCTAGCGTGCAGTGAAGGTGACTTATTAGTTACCTATCATATAATAATCCTGCACTGTCCCCCAATAGTCTTTGAAAGTGACCATCACTTTTCCAGACCGAAATTGCCAGTGGATACCTGTTGCTACTGCTTATGGCCACAGCTAAAGCCATTGCCGTGTGGGACTGAAGGGGGCTGGGGGATGCGGTGTGGGGTCTGGAGCCAGACTGCCTGAGTCCTGGATCCGTCTTGGTCTCTCTGTGTGACCTTGGGCATGCCACTTAGCCTCGCCATGTCTCAGTTTCCATATCTTGTAAGGTGGGGCTGGTAATGACACAGTCCCCTTAGGTTCTTGGGAGATTTTAAATGCATCAAAGCACATGAAGCACTTAGAACACTGCAGCACCTGACCATTGCGAGCTCAGTCACATGCTATATCTGCCAGTCTTTGAATATTTTGTGCTAGTTTATTTATTCCCAGGGACTGTGACTCCCTGTGGGCAGGGTCTGCGTGGTTCTTGTTTACCACTATGTCGCAGTGCCTGACCCAGAACTGTGGATTTTTTTTTATGGATGGAAAGAAGGATGGTAAGAGCCTTTCTTGATTTTTTTTTTTTTTTTTTTTTTTTTTTTTTTTGTGAGCTGTCCAGAAATTCAACTCTGTGGCCATGAGCTGATTACTTCCTATTTGGAAGTACAAGAGTGGACCTCATTGACTCGGAGGGCAGCATGTGGTGACTGCAGCTGATAGTTATTGAGCACTTTTGTGGGCCAGAGCTCAGTGCTCATCATAAAGGTCTGACTCCTCACCTGCATCCCATTTTACAGATGAGGAAACTGAGGCCCAGTGGGGACCACCTGCCTCTCCTCACAAGAGATCTACTGTAGTGGTTAAAAGCTAGAATCCTGGAGCTGCTCTGTTTGGGTTGAATCCCCAACCCACCACTTTATTCCTGTGCAACCTTTCTAGCCTGTGACTTCTCTGTTCAACTTGTCTTCTGTAAAATAGGAATAAAAGTTCCTACTTGAGAGGGTAGCTGTGAGGGTTAGGAGAGAGAATTCCTATAACATAGGAATTCTGCATAATGAGCATTCTGTTGTTGTTATTAGCCAAAGCCATTCTGTTGTGCTTCCAGAGCTGGTGGGAGGAGTCCAGGGACAATGTTTAATTATTAAGCCACATTGCCTCTTTGAGCTAGCGTCCCATCAGCACAGGCAGAGGAGCCCACCTTTGGACTGTGAGGTTGTGAATGAAGCAGCCAGGTGCTCACTTAGGGCAGGGGATGCTGTGGGCACAGATCCAGCCCTGGCTCTGTCACTGAACAGGTGGTGGGTGCCTGAAACCCAAGTCACAGGAGTAACAGGCGGGCGCCTTTGTTACCTTTGAGCTTTCTCTTAAGCCCATTCAGATTCCTCAGACCACGTGTCTGATGAGTAAGGAGTCCTTTTCTTTCCCTCCCCCAAAGGGACTGTTGGCAAAATAGCCCTCTTTGGGAATGCGCCTTTTCACGAAGACCAGGCATCTCTTGGGGAACTCCGGTGGCCAGCGTGTGCTCACAGCTACTGAATAAGTCGCTGTTAGGAGCTGGCACGGCAGGTTCCCGTTTCCGCATTCCAGACACCCACAGCGGCTGGGGGGAGGCACCACCCGAGGTTGCCTGGAGAGCTTAGGCAGGTGGCCTTCACCTTGGGAAGACCTGGGACAGGAGCACACCTGGGGCTAAGCCGACAGTCACCTGCCTGCTTTGTGATCAGAGCTGTGTCCTGGGCGTCTTTTAGGTGAGTGGTGTTTATTAACTTCGGTAGTGACTTGTAGAGAAAGTTAATAATGTGTTTCTTCTTTTCCGGAATTGGACTGTTGGCTTTTCTTTTTCTCCTTCTCCTCCCATGAAATGTTTACCTGTCTGCTCCTAACTGTGAAGAAAGAGTGGGTGGAGTGTTAAGGGAGTGAGAAGAAATGGAGGACATTTCTCCCAAGAGAAGGAATCGGTGACTCTTTGGTTGAGCTCCTGGATGCAAACTTCTGTGCCAGGGGCTGTGGGGCATCCCAGCCTGGTAGAGAAGAGCTTTGTGGTCTTGCCTGAGTCCTGTTTCCTCTCTGGGCCTCAGTTTCCTCTTCTTATGAAATGGGAAATAGCAGCAGGACCCAATGAGTCATACATGTAAAGTGCTCAGGGCCTGGAGTGGCGCTCAGATGCCCCCATCCCAGCCCCAGTCCCCATCCCCCCCCCTCTGATCTTATCTCTGACTTCTCAACCACCTGCTTGCCATACTCCGGCCCACACTGGCCTCTTGTTCCTCCCTCAGAGACTGTGCCCTGGCTGTTCCCTCTGCCTGGGACACTTTCCCAGTGTCCCCAAAGCTACCTCCATCCCTTCTCCAGGTCTCTGCTCAGATGTCACCTTCTTGATGAGGCCTCTCTCCTTATTAAGTGGCAGCACCTTCTCCATCTCTCTAGCCCTTTCCTCTGCTTTATTTTGCTTCATAGCATTTATTACCGCTTGACATACTTGTTTATTACCAGCTCCCGAACCGTGGGCTCCATGGAGCACAGGCACTTTTTTGTCCCTCCTTTAGAATAGCTCCTGGCACGTGGCAGTACAGGCTAAGTTATTTTGTGAATGGATTTGTGATATTAGGTGCGACATTGTTTCGGGATGGCTGGCCAGCCCCATTTGGGGTTTGAGTAGAATGTCAGCATATCAGGAGCCTGTGGCAGTGGGTGAGGTGGTGGCATGTGCACCTGCTTCCCCTTGGTCACCCATCAGTTCTCTCGGGCCCGCCTGTGGCATCAGCCTTCGGGCTTCCTGTCCCTCAGCCCCTTGAGTCGTGGGGCCTGGGACCTAGCAGTGACTCATCTGAGCAGCCTGGGTGCATGTGGCATGGGACAGAAGGCCTTAGTCCTAGCAAGCATAGAGGGTGCCAGGTTAATTCAGGTGGGGAAGGCTGTGTGGACGACACCACCCATATAGACATTTCCCAAATGTGTCTCTAGGCCCCGCTTGGCATTCCTGCAGGGGGAGGCCAGGCAATGCCTGGGAAATAGGAATTAACTGGCCAGGCATCGTTTATCCTTCTCCCCTGCTTTAATAGGGAATAATTCTTGCTTTGGGGCCGAACAAGTTTTAATTAAATGGTGAGCTCAAAGAGTCTGACTGTGTAATAGCTGACACGTCGTTATCTGTTTTCCAGCTCCTGGTGTCAGCAGTTGATTCTGTAAAAATATCCTGGGCAGGGCTTCCCCAGGCTCCATGGAGTGAGGTCATTGGCCCTCTCGGATTTCTCCCGGCAGCATGAGGCGTGAGGACTGGGCTGCTGATGCTTCGTGCTGCCGGAGCACACATCACTGCACATCAGGGCCTGCTGCTATTTTAAGAATGTGCTAAATGTTGAAGGAACTGTTCCTACAACATTTTTTTTCTTTTTCTTTTTTTCGAGACAGGGTCTTGCTCTGTTGCCTAGGCTGGAGTGCAGTTATGCAGTCATAGCTCACTGCAGCCTCAAACTCCTGGGCTCAAGTGATCCTCCTGCCTCAGCCTCCCGAATAGCACCACCAAACCTGAGTCTTTTTTCTTGTTGTTTGTAGAGACGGGGTCTCTCTATGTTGTCCAAGCTGGTCTTTTCTTTTTTTTCTTCCAAGGCTAGTCTTGATCTCCTGGCCTCAAGCAATCCTCCCACCTCAGCCTCTCAAAGTGCTGGGATTACAAGCCACTGCACCTGGCCTGTTCCTACAACATTTAACTGTGTCCTTTGAGCTCCAAGTGCAGTGGTTTTGAGGTTGAGTCGAGGACCCTCCTGGGAGGCCATTTTATATAATGTTCGAGCCCTGGCACTGCCTAAGCCCTGGGCACAATACTTACCTTCTCCCGGCCTCGGTTTCCTTATCTGGAAAATAGTGATAATTAATAGTACCTGCATTAAATTAGAAATTAAAGTGAGACCAGGTGACTCAGTGCTGTTTCTAGTGCACAGAAAGCACTCGATTGTTTTTATGAATTGATTTCAAGCCCTCTTTTCATATGTTCAGTCTGTCCCTTTTTTGTGGGCTCCTTCTCTCCTCCCCCTCCTCTCTATTCCAGCCCTATGTCTGCACCCTCCCACAGTCCTTCACTCGTGGTAACAATCAAGTACTGTATGTATCTTTCTACATTTTTCTCCATGGTTATATAATTCTATAGGGGGAAATATTATCCTATAAGGGATAATATTATCCTCATTTTCCTGCATCTTGCTTTTCGCACATAGCAACGCTGTGTAGAAATTCCTCTGTGAGTCCTTGAGTAGTGCTCAAGTTTGTTCTTTTAAGTGGCTGAATAACACACAGTGGTGTGGGTGTTTCATAATTTGCTTGGCCAGGGCATCGCTGATATGTATTCCCTTTGTTTTTCTAGATTTTTTTTCCCCCTAAATTATTATTTGTATTGATAGCCTTCTTTAATTAGATTGTAGGCGTCCAACCTGCTCAGCCACCTTGTTAACTTAAGCTCTAGGCCATTGAGAATGAATATGAATATTAGTATAATGATGCCTCTTGTCCAGATAGGAGATGTATTTTCTGAGAGTTCTCACCAGGTCCAGCACACTATTGAACCATCTACTTTTAAATGCTTATTAATTGTAAAAATGATTAATACATTCATCATCCCTATACAGATTAGTTGTGTTTAATGGGCACTTATCACAAAATAGAGAAAGGAAAGGTTCATTTAGTATCCATCAGGCAAAAATAAAGTTTTACAAAACCAGTGTGACAAGGACATAGGATAATAGGAACTCTTATACATCCTTGGTGAGAATGTTTATAGAGAAGAGTTTGGCAATATTTAGCAAAGTTAAAGATGATCACATCCTACAACCAAAAAATCTCATGTCTCATATATACCCAAAGGAAATTTCTGTCCATGTATACCGGGACAGGAATATTAATCATATTAACAATCTTTGTTGGGAATTTGAATGTGCAAGAGACTTCTATTGGGATTTGTGATTGATTTCTTTTTTAGGTGGCACTTTAGTTAGGGAACGTGTTTGTCTTCATGAAACTTTGTACATACAGTGTTTTACCTAGATAGGGGTTTGTTCTACTTGTCTATTGCTGCACAGCAAGCCACCCCGGAACATAAGGCCTTAAAATTACAACAGTTTATTAATATTTCTCATGAATCTGTGGTTGATTGAGGCTCAGCTGGATGGCTCTTCTGCTGGTCTTGCTCAGGTTCTGTTATATGGCTGCATATGGTGGATGGGGCTGGAGCATTCAAGATGGTTTGACTCAAATGGCACCTTGAAGATGGCTGGGCCCTTCTCTCTCTACATAGTCTCAGGACCCCTCCATCCACATAGCCTTGCTACCCAGTAGCTGGACTTATAACATGGCAGCCCAGGGCTTTCTGAGCCTTCTTAAGACATAGGTCTAGAACTGGTCCTGCATCACTTCTGCGTCATTCTGTTAGTTAAAGTGAGTCACAGAGCAGCCCAGGTCCAGTGTGGGAGGGATGATGTAAGACTTGAGTTCCATGAGGTGTAGTCCACTGGGGGCCATCTTTGGCTACTGGCTACCACAGGGTTCATTTTCTCACATGGGAAGAAATGCAGAGCTCAGCAGGTTGAGGTGGTGTGTGGTTCAACACATCTCCAGTGCCCCAGGCTTTTCATTATCTGCCTTGCCAACCTTAGCCTCATAATCATAAGACGTCTGTTCCACCTCTAGCCTCATATTCTTGTAATAGGCAGGAGGAAGCAGAGCTCTAAGGAAAAGAAACAACAACACCGTCAGGAAACCAAGGCCTTCCTTGAAATCTTTAGTGGACTTCTGTTTGTGGTTCTTTGGCTAGAACTTTGTGACATGACCACCTTTGCTGCAAGGAAGTCTGGGAAAAAGGAAGTCTTCTGGTCTGGCTTGGGAGGCCACGTACTAAACCATTTGGCTATACTGCTTTAGTTTTATTTATTTTAGGAAATGTTTCTTACTGAGTTGAATATGTAGGTGACAGTCTTCCAGCTGGGTTCATTGCCACCCTGAGCAAAGGGCCAATAGGGAAGAAGAGGGAGAATGGCCATGTAGGGTAGGCACCTACAAACGGTCTATTCAGACAGCCACAGAAGTGATGGGTAAACGGAGGCAGCGTGCATTCATTTATCAACTATTTAGTAAGTTCCTGGCCTGGGCAGGGCACTGGGCTTATCACAAAGGCTGCAAGGGTCTGGGAAGCAAACGTGTCTGGGGGTTAAACTGACCAGCAACATTTGTAGGCCTTGACCAGATAATTGCTCAGCTCATATCTCCCATGTTGATGTTTGAAGTTTGACTAATGATAAGAAGGGTAGCCAGTCTCATTAAGGGCTTAGCTGTGTAGAGGAAGTGTCATGAATACTTTTCATGAGCCAACTTGTTGACTCCTCACAATGGCCCTATGAAGTAGGCTCTTTTATCATCTCCTTTCTCAGATGCAGAAACAGATGCTCTGAGAGGTTGAATAACTTGCCACATGTCCTCCGGCAAGGGTGTGGAAGAGATGAGATGCGGTCTCTGCTGGTCTGGCTCTGGAGGCCATGTGCTGAACCATCACTACAAGCTTAGCTTTATTTATTTCAGGAAACATTTCTTGTTGAAATGAATGTGTAAATGACAGCAGAATAAGACATGAAAGAGAAACCACTTACTGCTCCACCCCCTGCACTCCCGCTTCCTGCCTCATTGGTGCCTTATGTCAGTAACTTGGTATATGCTCTTCTTCACCTATTTCTAGTGTATTAAGTTTTTTAAAGGTGGCCTTTTG